ATTACTATACTTGTGGGGACCTAAATCTGTTTACACAGTCACGTGTGGAGACTCGCCGCCCTTATGGGGACAAATTGGAGGTCCCCATGAGGGGCATCATTAGTTTTAGGGTGAAGACTTGGTTAGGATTAGGGTTAGGGTTAAGGGTAAGGGTTAAGGGTTAGGGTTAGGGTTAAGGGTTAGGGTAAGGATTAGGTTAAGGGTTAGGGTTAGGTTAAGGGTTAGGGTTAGGCATGTGTTGGTTATGGTTAAGGTTAGGATAAGTCTCCAGGAATGCATGTAAGTCAATGTAATGTCCCCTGAAGTGATGTATACATGGTGTGTGTGTGTGTGTGTGTGTGTGTGTGTGTGTGTGTGTGTGTGTGTGTGTCAGTAGGAAGGCCTGAGGGAAGACAGAGTCCTTGTGCAACATTCATCCTCTGCTTACGTAACACTGGAGCTCTGTGGAGATTAATGTGATAATGCTCCAAACTGTACTGACCCCAAAATGACAGTGGATTAATAATAGTCACATTCACATAACATCTAAGAGTTATTTCATTGACTGAATATTACAAATATGAATCATCTTTATTGCTAGGTAGGTGCCACTTACGTTGGTGCAACATCTTGCTAATGCACGCTTTATTCTTCCATAAAATGCCTGTGTCTGTGAGTCCTCTAATTACACTTGTAAGCTTGTGATGCAGCGGAAATGATATACAGTAGCTCTGACTTGCTGTCAAGGTTAAACAAAATACTCCAAACTAAACTCATTACTTACAGAAACACACACTTTGCTGTGGCTTGAAAACAGCTGGGGAAAACATCCAGACCACAAACTGGAAACCACCACTCAATGTTCGTTTAGTGCACGTTATATAAGCTGTGAAATGTTAGCATAGCCACAAGATAGGAGCTCCGAAGTAACTGGGAAACACAGACGAGACAATGGGCCTTTTTTTTAGGTAGGTCATTTTGGAGAAACCAGGGTTGCGTTCCAATAGTCCATTTAGCTTAGGAACCTTCCTGACGGAGTGAAATGACCCGGAAGTACCTCAGTGGCAGCCATGATAAGAGCCGTTCCAATTCTCCAAATGAAAGGAAAGGAGGTTTCAAGCTTCCTTTATAACCTCCTTTAGCTTAGGAACCACTGGACCTCCCTAACCGAAAGGAGAGGAGAAAATGCTGCCCCACAATGCATTGCAGCCGCAGCATTTGCCGTCACACAACAGTCGGCCGTTCACGGACACAAACGATAATGGGAGAAATGATATCATGAAAGTTACGGTGCTTATTACGCTTTTTAAAACGTATGTGGTAAGTTGCCAAAGTGCTTTGTTCTGAACGTTCATCAGTATTATAATCAAAGAGAGAAATATGAACGTTAGTTTTTACTGAAATGATCAAATAAAGTCAACATTTCACTGAGCTGTGTGGGGGTTGTTCAACTTTTAAAAGATGTTTGAATGGTGATATACACAGTGATAGATGTTAAGGACTAACGTTTATAATAAATACATCTGTATTGATTTAAGATCTTTCCATCAATCATACGTATTGGGATCATTTGTATTAATGAGGACCGGAGGGAGAGGGTGACGAGCATAAGCTTCACTTTCCTTTTTTATTTCAATTCCAGCTTTGGTCCTGAAGAATCTGTTTCTCTGTTGTCCACGTTCATAAAGCCTAAAGCAACAGCATCAGAGCACAGAGTCTCTAGATGAGTTCACAGGAGTCCCTCGTTCTTATTGAACATCCATGTTGTAGTCCGCTGTATAGAAAACTGTAGTTTCCATGGTTACCCCACAGCAGCAGACGCTCATTCAGGACGTCCGCTGGCGCATCATAAACACGTCGGAAAGTGAAAGTGCAGTCGATTCTCTAAAGCACCGCAGTCTCTTCTCCTAAGTCCTTTTGAATTCTCCTATCCACTATCCCTTAACCCCGTGACCTTTCACTCAGAGGTCAAGGAATAGGAGATAGGGTTAGAATTTAGGAGCTAATTTTTGGATTATCGGAACGCAACCCAGCTCGAGTGCGCTAGAATTTGAAAATACACAACCGGAAAAAATCTGCCACTTCCTCACAGAGCCCCTCCTCCAACACACACGAACGCGCACATGACCAATGAGGGCACGAGATCAGTTTGTGCCCCGATGGGAGGCTGACAGGCAGGTAGGCCATCCAGTTACTTTAGCCGGGCCGGCTATCGGGATGTTAAGAGCATTCCATGGAATATAACAAAAAGTGTATCTCGAGCCGGTTTCTCAAACGTACCCCTCCTTTAAGGGCATATCAGAACCAGATAGGATGAGATAGGGTGTACTGGGAAATGTTTGCAACAAAACAAAAGAAGGCCTTGCACATAAGTAGAAATGAAAGAGTAGAAATAAACAATACTAGTATTTAAACATCTCAAAATAGAATTAAATCAGCATTAAAAAGTAGAAAATATATACAGTAGGACGTGAAGCTCTATAAACTCTGACTCTTTTCTTACTCAAACCAATAAAGCACAGTTTAAACAACGTGATGTTGTCACAGCTGCTTACATCAGACTCTCTCCCTTCACTTCTAATCTTTTCATTCAGCTGATCCAAAGTGACCTACAACAAGTGCAGCAGGCGGGACATCAGGATCTGAACGCTAAAAAAACTGCTAAATCTACGGGGTTTTTTAACTCGCTGTAGCTGCACATAAGTCAGATTCGTCACTGGATATGAGGGCTTGGTATTCAATAAATATGACATTGAAAGCAGCATGTGACCTTGACTGTAACATCAGAAAACTCAACAGCTTAATGTGACATCAAATAACCTTCAAAAAATACCACTCAAATAATGAAAAATTAAAGGCAATAGTTGTAATAATCTCCAGGTGCTGCTTTCTATTTGGGCGTAACGTCAATATATGAAAAACATTGACAGACAATGTGAATTAAAGTCGTTATTTTTGTTGACTAACGAGACTTTGCACACGTGGCGGTCAACTTCACGAAGCTAACACTTACTGTACATGTTTATTTTAAGATATTATTAGGTATAGCTGTGACTATGACTATTACAGCCAGTTAAATACAATAAAACAGATTCAAATGTACCACTGTGTCGAGGAACAGTAGGTTCTTATATGGTCTTGAAATAATGATTCAGCATCTAACAGGTTTAGACCCACCAGGCTACTAAGGTATTATTTTGGGATATAAAGTCAATACTTTTCCCTTAACATTGCATAGATTTTTGTACAAGATGTGTTACTCCTTTTGCAATGTATTTATATATAATCCAATGCCAATATTTGTATTCAAATGTATTCAGTATGTGTATTGTTGAGATACTCTAGGAATATATGTATTTTCTATTGTGTATATTTGCTGTTAATGTTTATTATATGTGTATGTTATTGCTAATACTGTATATGTAAAGTTACCATCAAACCTACAAATCTGCAGACTGTTGTCATATCTTCAATTTAATCTAGGATTGCATTTAACAATGTATTTATCTGAATAGTTATCGACTACAATAAACATTATTATGATTTATCCTGGTATGTTTTTGTCTATTTTAACATGTATACAGACTCCTGGATTTACTTGGTCACTTACAACAGTATCAGCTTATTTATTCTTTCACACACACATACGGGTTTTGGGCCGAGGGCGACACCGTACTTCCGGTATCAACCATTTCACGCGAGGTGCAACCTGAATATCATAGTCTATTCCTTAATCAATATAGTCAACTCTAAAATACCACATATATGCAATGGCATGATAATATTATTGTGACAAGTGGGGTATTCACCTGGTGTTTCCAGAAGATAGACGTAGATGCCAAAATCGACCGAAGGCCACTTTCGAGGGTCGTAATTCCATACATTGTACATCCAACAACCCACACAGCTCTAGTTTACGCTGGTAACGACCTAAAGCACACCCCTCAAGTCCAGAGATGTAATCCGAAGACATGCAGCGATTTCTTCGGTCGTTAATTCAGAAAAAAAACCTAGTGCGCTCTGCCTGGCTACGTTACCTAGCTGTTTATATTAGCATCGGCAGGATTTTTGCACCTCCAGAAAAATGGCGTCTTTATAAAAAAAAATATGGCGCGCGTTGCATTGTGGGTAGCTGTGACGTCACTGTGTGTGAAAGAATGTATTCTTATCTGACATGGTTTACTTTAATCTGCTTTATTTTAGTCGCTATCTGTACTGCTTTTTAAACCTGTTGTATTGTTTACGTCTTATATATATATAACGTTGCATTGATGGAGGAGCTTTGGACTTAATATTTGCATTGCATATCTACACAGTAACGTCTGTGCATGTGAGAATGAAGCCTTCGCATTTGTACATTGAAATGATGATGTGTATTAAGCATCATGTGTTCCCTGTGAGGGCGAGGGTGATGACAGCTTCACGGTTGCATCATTAAAACGCATGGAGCCTTAAATCACTGCACAAATTACACCGCATGTTAGATTGTAATGAACACTTACCTTAAATCGAGGTTTCTCCGCAGCATTGGGCGATCTCAGTGTGAAATACGGCGTGAATCCTGTAAAGCGAAACCTGAAACAATGGAGCGGAAGGGAGGGAAGTGACAAACACCACGCGAGTCATCAACGTGCAGCACGTTAGTGTGGTGACGTATTTAACACGCGTTTTGTAGTTTTGTTGTGTTTTTCTTTTAATATGCCATGAACAGTTATTCCAAAACATCAGAAAAAGGCACATAGCATCGCGGTTCATTATATGTATTCAAAATTGAGGGCGTTATGAACAGAAAACCAAATTAGAGAATTGTAAAAGTAAAGTACATTTTTATTTGTTTTACTTTTACACAATTTAATTATTTCTATGATATCATGTCATAAGTATAATTGTTCTAATTTATTTTATATATACTGGATTTGCACCATCCAGTGTTATTGACTGGAAACGTGAAGGTTTGTAAATGACTCTTGATTAATAAAGTTTTTTCTTCAAACAACACCTATGAGTCATCCACGTGCGACATGTGGGTGTGATGACGTCTTTATTACGCGGCAGTAGTCTGTGTCAAATTAAGAAGAAGATTATTTTTCGCGTTGGTTTAGACTTTCTTTGCACCAAAACGTCGCTTTGGATAACAGCCTTATATTTGCATGGGTAACCTGTTGACGTCGAAGTGACAGATTGGACAGCAGAAGGTAAGCAGCCTTTTCTCAATGCATCGAACACAATGTAAATATTCTTTCATTAACTCAAAGATTGAAGCATGCACATCCATGAAGAGAGCATGCATGGAAGAAACCGAAATGTGAAAGTGTTAAATCTAAATGAGATGATTAGCCTCGGACTAAAAGTAGCTGGCTGCAGTTCATCCTCACCTTGAAGTGGAATTGAATTGATTTGAAAAGAAAACATATCAATCGTATTTAACGAATGATGCGTTTGTATGACTTTTTTTAGTAGGAGGGGATAGATAGATAGATGGATGGATGGATATTTGATTGATCCCAAGTGTGTTCAGACATTAAAATACAATACTTTAAATACTTTAAAAAGTGGGAAAGAAAATGAAAAATATATCAAATGTAAACATACAAACAACACAATATAAAATGTTTTGGATAATTAAAATAAAAAGTCAAAAATACCACAGGATCCTAAATACTACAGGAGATTGAGTGAGTGAGTGAGTGAGTGAGTGAGTGAGTGAGTGAGTGAGTGAGTGAGTGACAGGTAGACAGGTAGGTAGACAGACAGGTAGGTAGACAGACAGACAGGTAGGTAGACAGGTAGGTAGACAGACAGACAGACAGGTAGGTAGACAGACAGGTAGACAGACAGGTAGGTAGACAGACAGACAGACAGGTAGACAGACAGGTAGACAGACAGGTAGGTAGACAGGTAGACAGGTAGACAGACAGGTAGGTAGACAGACAGGTAGACAGACAGGTAGGTAGACAGACAGACAGACAGGTAGACAGACAGGTAGACAGACAGGTAGGTAGACAGGTAGGACAGGTAGACAGGACAGGTAGGTAGACAGGACAGGTAGACAGACAGACAGACAGGTAGGTAGACAGACGGTAGACAGACAGGTAGGTAGACAGGTAGGTAGACAGACAGGTAGGTAGACAGACAGGTAGACAGACAGGTAGGTAGACAGACAGGTAGGTAGACAGACAGGTAGACAGACAGGTAGGTAGACAGACAGGTAGGTAGACAGACAGGTAGGTAGACAGACAGGTAGGTAGGTAGACAGACAGACAGACAGGTAGGTAGACAGACAGGTAGACAGACAGGTAGGTAGACAGACAGACAGACAGGTAGACAGACAGGTAGACAGACAGGTAGGTAGACAGGTAGACAGGTAGACAGACAGGTAGGTAGACAGACAGGTAGACAGACAGACAGACAGGTAGGTAGACAGACAGGTAGACAGACAGGTAGGTAGACAGGTAGGTAGACAGACAGGTAGGTAGACAGACAGGTAGACAGACAGGTAGGTAGACAGACAGGTAGGTAGACAGACAGGTAGGTAGACAGACAGGTAGACAGACAGGTAGGTAGACAGACAGGTAGGTAATTGTAAATTACAAAATTTCTTTAAAATAAAAAAAATATATAATAAACATTAAACAAGTGACCCTAACCCAGCCAGAAGTGAGTTGTTGTTGTTGTTGTTGTTGTTGTTGTTGTTGTTGTTGTTGTTGTTGTATAGAGTTATAGAGAGTAGATCATAAACAAAGACAGCTGATTGAATATGTTAATTTATCACAGGAATATTTCTTAACCAAATACTGTCTCCAGACTCCATTCACCATTTGTCTGCTGGTGAATTGTCATGTTACTATATGTCTGTTTCCTTGTGTCTTAATGTTCACTTCACAGTTTGATATTCCCTCTCGTCTGTTGCTCTGTAGATCACCTGGTGCAGGTATGCTGCAGGTTGATGGATGAACTGTTGGATGGATTCATCGATTCATTCGTTTGTCTCCGGTTCACTGCTGCTCTTCCTCCCTCTGTCCTCTCCCTCCATTGCTGTCCAACTCCTCGGCTTGTGAGCGGATGAATGCCAAATCTCGTGATTTTACCTTCGCCCAAAGGACTCCATGTCTTTCTTGGTAAGCATTTCACGCTGCATGGGTTTTTACTTCGTAGATGTCAAGTCACAAATCAGCTGCTAAAGGTGGGATAAGGAAAAATGCAATCAGTTTATTATAAGTTAGATGGTGGCAAACGTCAGATTATACGTATAGTCTTAACCGCCATTGCATCTGCATTTATGATATCGATTTGTTTGTACCGGCAATGATCATTTAAGCACAAATCTTGAAAAAATATTCAATGTGTTTTGGCTGAAATCTGATCTTCTGCAGTCCTATGGCTTAATTTCTATATATATTTAATTTTAAGGTAGGAGGAGACTACTTTTCCATGTGTACAATAACAACAATGGCTAAATATCAG